CCGCGCACCGCGGACGCGCGCCGGACGACCTAGGAGGCAGCCGATGCCCTGCACCATTTATTGAACCAACGTTGCCTGCAAAGTAAACCGCTTATCTATACACCCGAGAGTGAAAAGTGATTCGCTTGGTTTCTGGAGCATCCTGCCCCAAGAGGAGCAACTGGCAGCCCCATCCCCGCGCCAGGAAACTCACAAATCCACCAGGGATGGGAGGCCAGGCTGTGCCCTGGGCGACCTAGCGCCAGCCCCTCGACCCTTGGCCCCTGCAGCCTAGGCGGTGGCTCAGAGCCCAGGGGCAACTGGAGGGCTCACAAGGGGTGGGTAGATTCCAGCCCCAGAGCCAGCCACCTCTGCCCAGGCCCTACCCTAGCCAGGGAGGTCTCCTCCAGGCCTGCCCCTCTGACAGGTCCTCCTGGGAAGGCCAGGCCCCATGGAAGGGGTAGGCAGCTGAGGCCTCCCAGGAGAGGCCTCTCCCGGGCCAGGCCCACTTCCCACACCCCCACCCAGATGCCCTGGGGTTTGTGAGGCTAGCGTCCACATCAGGCTCCCCTCAGCCCGCAGGCAGGCTAGCTCCACAGTGGCAGAGGGCTACGCTAAGGGTGGGAATGGGCTGGGGTGATAGGGTTCAGGTGGTGCAGGCACTGCAGGCCTGGGGGTCTAGCTGCTGGATCCAGAGCAGGCGGTGGACCTGGACATCCCTGGGCTCCAGGACTCGGGCCTGAGGCTACCTCCAGGCCTCTCAGGGCAGTCACTGCAGCCAACCCCTCACCCAGGCCAGGCCCCAGGCTGCCCAGGGCTCTGAGCCGGCGGCCCCTGGACTGCAGGTTGGCAGACCTCCAGGGGGAGCTGGTGCCCAAATTGGGTGGCATTGGGTGCTTGGGGGGAGAAGGGATCAGGTGACAGCCCAAGGTCCTGGAAGGCTCTAGAAAGCAAGGAAAGAGAGAGCGTGTCAGAAAGGCCCGTCAGACAAGAGAATCATGCAGGTGTGGCCACTGCCCACCCACCTATGGCCCTGCAGCACCCATGGCTTGTCACCTCCAGGCTGCACCCCTCTGCCCCACTTCCTGTGCTCCTCAGGGAGCTGTGGCCCCAGCCGTGTGACCTCTGACTGTTGCTTGGGCCGACCCACCTCTGGGGCTGGCAAAGAGGACGCGAGGCTGGGGCTCCGGCTTGGGGTGATCTGGGTCCCATCCTGGGGGGTTAGTTCCTAAGCCTCCACTGTAGAGTCTCCACTGCCCACGGGGTGGGTGGCTGCAGTCACCCAGCGCCCACCTGGACCTGGCGTCCCTTGTTCACTGTCGGCAGCCGCTGGCCCTCTTGACTGTCCTAGGCCCTCCCACTTGGCCTGCCCTGCTCCCTTTGACACCAGCCACCCCCAAAGAGGAGGATCACTCTCCAACCCTGGAGCCCACACGCCTGTTGCCTCCTGCTTGCAGTGCCCCTTCTCCGGACTCGGCCACCCTGCTAGGTGAGGGTCCCCTCTGCCTCGCAGCTTGCAGTCGCTCTGAAGCCAGTGTCCCTTGGAGAGGGCCCTGCCTGACTCAATTCTGCATCCCCGAGCCCAGCGTGTTTCTGTCTGGGGGGTAAAGTGGAGGCGTTCCTCCCTGCCTTGGCCTCCTGCCTGCCCTGCCCCGCCCCAGAAGGGCCAAGTGAGCACATCCTGCTTGTGGCACCCCTGCCCGCACCCCTGGGTGTCCCAGACCTGTCTGGATTCTGCTCACACCACCTTCTCTCTCTTGCATCCAGCCCAGGTGGCCTCAAGTTCCCATGGCTCTGGGAAGGGGGGACTTGGGGTTGGCCCCCTAGTTTGTGAGTCCCTCAGCCCCAGAAGACCTGCCTGTCACAGGCCCTCTCAGAGCCCAGCTGAGAAGGGAGGGCTGAGCTATACAGGATGGTCTGAGGGGAGGGTCCCCATCCCGAGGCGGGTCTCCAATCACTCTCAGGCATGGGGGACAGGGGCAGGCTCAGTACCTGAGGCCAAGCTTGGGGGGCTGGGGTAAGTCTTGGGCCTAGTTTGGTCCTCTTGCTCTTCAGGGGCTCTCCGTGGGGCCCAGGGGGCTGCAGCCCTTTCCTGCTGGGACTCCAGGTGGCTATGGGGGAGGGGACTGAGGTCAGGGAGAAGGAGAAGCTGCAGCCCTGCTCCCCTTGACCCTGTCCCAAGTGAGTGCAGAACTCTGGGACAGTCCCCTAGCCCCCAGCCCTGATCCCCCACACCACAGGACATGCACAAGTAGGGCTTGGCCGGGGGAGAGGCACCCACCGCAGGCCCAGCTCCCTCCAGGCCTGAAGCCTGGCCACGGCCAGGAAGTCACATATGTCTGCAGGGTCGGGCCCTGGGGTAGAGGTGCTGGTGACTGGGTCTTCTGGCCTGTGTGGAGACAGCTGCTCTGGGGGCACCCAGGCCTAGGGAGGAAAATAGCTGTTTTGGGGACCCCGGCCCTGGGATGGCTGTAGGGCAGGGCACTGTCAGGGTGTGAGTCCTGAATGCTGGTCCACTGTGGGGTGGGGGCTGGAGTCCTGGATGCTGGTGTACTTTGGGGGAGGGCTAGAGCTCTGGATGCGGGTCCACTGTTGGGGGGCTGGAGCTTTGGACACAGGTTGACTGTGGCCGGAGTCCTTGCCCACTTTGGGGGGTAGGGAGGGCATACCTGGCACTGGTGCCTATGCTCCCGAAGGCCTTTGGTGGGGTTCCCGCAGAGGACTTGGCCTGCACCTGAAGAAGAGGGCTTGGCTGGGCCTGGTTTGGGGCCAAGGGGCTGCAGGGTTGGCTTCAGGCCTGGGAGGGTCAGTTACCATGGGTGAGGTTGCTGCTGTGGTCTTCTGGGGCCATGTCCTCAGGAAGCAGGCCTTCAGGCAGCGGGCCCCCAGGGACCAGAAGGGAAAGGGGCCAGAGTCTGAGAAGCCGGGGCAGGGTCTCAGACAGGGACAACTTGGGATCCAAACTCCACATGGGGGCTCCAAGGGGACGATCTGCCCAAGGATCAGAATCAGAGGTCACAGAGGCCCATGCCAGCCGGCCAGCCAAAGAGCCCACCCCAGACTCTATCCACAGACCAGGGACCTGACACCCAAGAAGCCACGTGCCCCGAGGCCAGCCTCTGAACTTCATTTCCTTCCAGAGAGGCCCTCAGCCTCAGACCCTCCTCTCCCTCTGCACAGGTGCTGCTCACAGAGGTGGCGTCCTGGCCTGCAGGAGGACCTGCGCCGTGATGGGGACCAGGGCTCAGGGCTGGGGAAGGGTATGAGATACGGCCTTCCACCTCTGACAGGTCTGAGGAGGGCCGGGGTGGAGGCCTCTCCTCCTGGGGGATGGGGGTGGAGCCCTCTTTTGGGGTGGGGGCCCAGGCTGGTGGCAAGGTCTCCAGGTGGGTGGCTGCCGTACCCAGCGTGGGGAGGAGACCATCCAGGATGCTGCCCTTCTTGATGGCCTCCTTCACCATGAGCCAGTCCTGGTTCAGCTTCTGGGGGGCCGGCAGGTCTGTGTGCGTGGCTGGCACCTCATCCAGGACCTGCAGCTGTGGGATGAGCTTCCTCACCTCCGCCCTGTAGTTGTAGCCCTGGAGCACCTGCATGGTGGAGGGCAAAGGCTGGCAGGCCTGGGTTCAGCGGGCCCTTTAGGCCAGCTTTATCCTGAGCCTCTCTCCCTCAGACCCACTGTGGGACAGAGCCAGGGAGCTAGGGGTCAGTGATGCTGGCCCACCCTGCTGGGGCTGGCTTGGTTCACTCTTGGACTCCAGGGACTGCAGGGACTGGACTCATCCCTCATTCTCCAGGCCAGTGGCCAGGGTCCAGTGATGCCTTCTGGCCTGTGGAGCTGCCCTGAGCTCAGGGCTCTGGCCCACTCAAGCAGCCACTGTGCACTGGGTGGATGCAGACCCCAACATGTGCACCACCAAGCCGCAGCTAGTGGGGTGGGCAGTATATGCTCTGGGCATGCATGGCCCGTGCAGGGGGAAAATGGGCCTTTGTGCCGCACAGGGGCCTGCAGTGTTGTGTGTGTGGCACCTCCAAGCAGGGCATGCACAGGCCCGTGACACTGTATGGGAGTGCATTCCTACACAGGGTGTGCACAGGTTGCAGGGGATGGAGGTGGCTCTGGACGGGTGTGTGTGGGTGCGTGCGCACATGTGTTTGTGCATGTGTTGTGTACATGATCCTCCATGGAGACTATACCAAGCAGGTGTGGTTCCATGTGGCGTGTGTACGGACTCTCGGGGTACATACATGGGCTGAGGGGCATGGCATGTGTGCAGGTGGGTGCAGAGGTCTCAGCCCTCGGGAGGGCCCAGAGGTCGGAGCCACAGCGGGTCTCCCTTGCCCTGCACATGTTGACTAGGTGCCCAGCACACACACCTTGTTGGAGGAGCCAGGGGCAGGCTGCAGGCACACCAGGTTGCCCTCCAGGGTGAGCGTGTTTAGCCGCGGGCACAGCTGCAGGTAGCGCACCTGCCCCAGGTCCTCCAAGCTGTTGCCCTCTAGGTCCAGCACCTCCAGCTGCTCGAGCAGGCACAGCGGGCTCAGGTCCGAGATGTTGTTATAGGAGACGTAGAGTTCCTAGACAGCAGGGGGATCTCAGCCAGGACCTGCCTGGTGTCCCCTCCCCAGCCCAGGCTGCCACAGACCCACCTTCAGCTTTGGGAAGGAGGCGATGCCATCCAGGTCAGTCAGGCCACAGCGAGCCAGCCACAGAACCTGTAGGCGGCCCACAGAGGTGCCCAGGTCTCTGCAGAAGGCAGGGTTGGGTGGTCAGTACCATCCTGCAGTGGAGGGCCATATCTCTGGCCTTCCTTGTGCCCAGCCACCACCCATACCTGGCTGCCTGCAGGTGCAGGGGCAGTTGTGACTGGCAGTTGTGGGTCGTCTCCCAGATGAGGCAGGGACTCCAGAACCCCCTGGCTCCCAGCCTTTCCCTCCTTGCTGCAGCCTCCTGGTCTCGGGCATGGGCAGAGTGTCCCCTACCTTCTCCAACCCCTGGGGGGTCTGGCCCGGCCCTGGGGAGCTGCACTGCTGCTGGATGGCTTGGCCCAGCCCTACCTGATACCCACTCCAGCAGGGCGGGCCAGTAGAAATTTATGATACATTTCATGCTGCAGGTATCATAATATTTCTAATTATACTATGAATAGCTTCTTGGCATTCACTCTGGGAGTTAGGGTCTGAAATGTGACCTGGAAGCCCCGAGCTGCTGGACACACTGGAGGGGAGGGGCTTTCCTGGAAGGTGGTCAGGTAGAAATTTATGATACATTTCATGCTGCAGGTATCATAATATTTCTAATTATACTATGAATATAGCTTCTTGGCATTCACTCTGGGAGTTAGGGTCTGAAATGCGACCTGGAAGCCCCGAGCTGCTGGACACACTGGAGGGGAGGGGCTTTCCTGGAAGGTGGTCAGGTTCTGAGCTGGCTGGTTTGCGGGGACCCAGCAGCTTGATGTTGCTGTGTATGGGGACAGTTGTTTTGCACTGGCCCGCCACGTCTCTCCCGCCATCAGTGGCCTCACACCTGGGGACTCTGCACCTGCTGCTCTTCCCGGCGCTGCAGCGCTTCCTCTACACCTCCCCCTCGTGAAGATGCTGCCTGAGCTCTCAGGTTTCCCGTGAACAACCGCAGATTTCTCCACAGCCAGACAATTTCTTCAGGTCTGTCCCCAGCTCACTAACTACCCTTGGCCAGTGTCTCACCCGCCGTGTAGTCTGTCCGCTGAGCTTTGAAGTTTCATTCTGTCGCCCCCATCACATTTGCTTTAGTCTTTGTCCTTTAGGTACATGGATTCAGTGTTTATCCCCAGTCTACTGCCCTAGATGGTTTTTCCGACCATCCCTTAACTGGCTGGAAGTTCTGTCTAGTGATTTCCTCAAGGAGCCTGGTGGACACGCGTGGTCTCAGACTCACTCTGCGACTCGCCTGCACGGCCACCCCTGGCCACGCACAGGCACTGTTCCACTGCCTCCTGGGTTCCAGTGTTTCTGTAGAGAAGTCTGAGGAAAACTTCTCTCTTTTTGTTCTTAAAAGACAAATTGATCTCTTTTCTTGGCTGCCCCAAATTTTTACCTTTATCTGGAAGTCCGGTAACTTTATTAGGATGAGTTTCAGTGCCAGCAATTCAGTTTCAGGTTTTCCTTTCCATCTGTAGATGAAGCTCTTCTCTTACTTCTGACAAGTTTCCTTTAATCTTACATATTTTTTCCTGTTCCATTGTTCCAGTTACTTCTGCAGCGATTCCAGTTGTGCATGTTAGGTCCCCTCTGTCTGCCTCCCTCTCTGTGGTTCTTTTAAACTCCATTCATGGACAATAAATTTTGCTTATTGTTATCCTTCCTGTCTTGTTGGGTTTCCTGCAACGTTGCTTTCAGTTTTTTCTTCATTTCTGTAATGGCATTATTGTTTGAGTCCAATTTTTTTTTTTTCAGAGCTTGCACACGCCTTCCCACTTGCAACCTGTGGCTCAGAACTGATCACATGGCCACATGCCCAGCTGAAAATAGGAAATCCTTTTGTTATAGAGAAATACATATTAGGAAATAACTGGTAGATTTTGCCACACCTCATGTGAAATAGGAAATTAACAGGAAAATTACAAAATTCTCAAACTAATAACAAAAAGCAAAGTGTACAAGATTTATGGAATCTTGCCTAAAGCTGTACATAAAGAGAAATTTAGGTCTTTAAATATATTGAAAAACTAGAAGGATTAGAACGATTGAGCTAAGCATTCAGCTCAAGGAACTAGGAAAAGAACGGCAGAGAGCAACATCGAAAGACAAGAAGGGTGGACACAGAAAGGAAAGTGACGCAACAACCAGGAAAGTCACAGCCAGTGTTAACGAGCCCACAACTGATTCTCTCAAAAGCTTAATGGACAATCCTCTGGCAAGAAGATCAGGAATGAAAAGAGAGACCGTGCAAATAAGTATATGGAATTTAAAAAGAGGAATCGTGAGAGCCACGGCAGCAGTCTGAGATAATACAAGGCCTTTATAAAACGTTTTGAAAACCTAGACAAAGCTTGCACTGAAAGAAATAGAAAACTTGATGGACCAATACCCATTAATGAACCTCCAGATCTGGACCCGTTTTAACAGTAAGTTCTTTTTTTCTTTAGATGACCGGTGAGGGGATCTTAACCCTTGACTCGGTGTTGTCAGCACCACGCTCTCCCAAGTGAGCCACGGGCCGGCCCTTGATTTTTAAATTTTATTCTAAATCAGTATAGTGTTTCTCTACATTTGTAACAATCAACCAAGAAATACAACAGAAACAAGAAATATAACCTTATTCATGATCACAAAAGTACTATACAATAGGTGGAAAGTAATTTAGTTTGGTTTCAGGGAGCCATGTGATTCGAGGAGGCTGGTGTCCTAACTTGTCCCAAGTGGCAGCGGGGTGGGTGGGGGGATCCTGCTTAGTCCGAGTCCATCAAAATCCCACCCTCTTGCTGGTGGTTGGTGTGGGACAGCGTAGGCATGACGCAGTTCTAGCCAAAGCAGCTCAAGGGAGAATGCAGGGGAATGTGTCCCTTGTTCTCACTAATGCACACAAGGAGGGCATTCCTGTTACGGGTTGGACCGTGTCCCCCCCAAAGTCCTATGTTGAAGTCCTAACCCCCAGTTCCTCAGAATGTGACCTATATTTAGAAATAGGGCTACTGCAGATGAATTAGTTAAGATGAGGTCAAACTGGAGTAGGGTGGACCCCTAATCCAATATGACTGGTGACCTTATAAAAAGGGAAAGTTTGGACATGGAGACACACAGGCAGGGAGAACACCATGTGAATACAAAGACAGAGATCTGGGCGATGCTTCTACAAGCCAAGGACCTCCAAAGACTGCCAACAACCACCAGAAGCTAGAGAGAGGCCCAGAACAGATCCTCCCTCACAGCCTCAGAGGGAACCAGCCCTTCCTTCTGACACCTGGACCGTGGGCTTCCCACCTCCAGAGCCGTGAGAAGACACATCTCTGCTGTTGATGCTGCCCCATCTGCGGTACTGTGCGACAGCAGCCCCAGGAAACAAATGCACTGTCCTAGTCCACAAATGTTGAGGACGCCTGGGGCTGCAGAAGCCACCCTGCACCGTGAGGGGACCAGCACAGGCACAGAGGATCACACATCACACTCAGTGAACCCATCCTGCAAGTCTGACTCTGGGCTTCAGTCCCATGGGAGACAGGAGTTTGTGCGTCCTGCCCACTCACGCGTCCTCAGGTCTTGGCCTGAAGGAGTAAATAATTTCTAATGGATTAGGCTAGTTTGATACGAGTTTCTTTTTTTTTTTTTTTAAAAGATGACCGGTAAGGGGATCTTAACCCTCGACTTGGTGTTGTCAGCACCACGCTCAGCCAGTGAGCGAACCGACCATCCCTATATGGGATCCGAACCCGTGGCCTTGGTGTTAGCAGCACCGCACTCTACCAAGTGAGCCACAGGCCGGCCCGATACAAGTTTCTGTAACTTGCAGCTGGAAGCATTCTAACTTTACAGAAGAAACTTTAAATTTCTATTAAAATATTTTAAAAAATACTTATGAATAGGGAGATATACCGTATTTGTGGATGTATAACCTAACAAGTAAATCCAAATCAGCATGTAAATCTTTTTAAATTCTAATAAAAATTCCAGAAAGGTCAGTGTGTATGTGTGTGTGGAACCCAACAAACTGAAATTCAAATGCAAGAGTAGGTGTCCAGGAGCAGCTGGGTGAGCTTGTGAAAAAGACAGCGAAGACAAGCACATCAGTGCTAGGCTTTGTCACAATGCCACACGCACACGGCAGCGTGCTGTGCGCAGGAACAGACCGACAGATGCCAGAGGGCTCGTGGGCACGCTCACACACACAGGGAGCTGCCCGGCGACAGAGACCGCGCTACGTGCACGGGAAAATGGTGTATTGCTTGGCAGGTGACGCTGGGAAAATCGACTCGCCATACATGGCAGAAAAGAAAGCCGGGTCCAACTTTGTGCTGCCTCAAAGGTGACTTTGCAGATAAGTTGGAAAGTGAGACCAGAAAGCGAATAGAAGAAACAGTGGAGTATCCGTGGCCTTGCGGGCATGGACACCTTCCTGAACAGCACCCGAGCACCAGCCAGAAGTGATGGGCCCGATCACAAGGAAATAAACAAAGGGTTTCTGCTGAAGCCCTTCACCACGAGGTTGGCAGGAGGACACAGGGTGAAGAGTCCCGCAGCGTCCAACGTGCACCCAGAATATACCAAGAACTCCCAGAAATCAGCAAGACAAGGACAGAGTCCACCCACAAAATCAGCACGGGCTTTATGAAGTGAGGCTCGACATCTCCAGTAGCGAGAAAAACGCATACGATTAAGTTGTACGAAACTTGTCCACCCAATTATTTTAATAGTTTCCAAATTACTTGCTGAGCTGCACAGAGTGTCCGTGTGGTTTTTTCACACAACTGACACTAAGCCAAGGGCGCCGAGCCCGGGCTGGCCTGCAAGCGCTGTTCCCTGTGAGCCTGCGGCTGACAGTCACGCCAGCCCGTGTGCAGGACATGTGTCTTCACGCTGGTGACATTTTGAGGTGCTGAATTCTCTCTCAATTTCTGATACACTCACAGCCTCTATGCTGAAATTATTTCCTAACCTTTATAATGCTGCCCAAGATTTTAATATAGTTAATATTTCTGCGATCATCTAGGTCACAACAGTGGTGCATTGGATCATCCTATGTAATTAGTTTCCTTTTACAAGTTTTTGTTCATTTTCATCCCATGAAGGTTTGTAAACATCATTTGGCCAAGTTTCGGGATTCAATAACAGAAATAACTCAGGGGTTCACCACATACATTTTTTACTGCTGTTATCAAATAACTGAATACGATTTCATAAAATTTGTAATTTAATAATTTTCCCTCGTACATTTTGGTTTCGTTACAAATAGTATATCATATTTATTTATTTATTTTGGCATCTGGCCGGCACAGGGATCGAACCCTGGACCCAGCTCTAACCTACTGAGCTGACAGGCCGGCCCATACTGTATTTCTCAATTTTATAACACCTTCTACTTCTCTTTCATAGTTAATTCTTTATTTAATTTTACGTGTTTTTTATACACTTTTATTGTTCTTTGAGCTAATCTATCAGCCTTAATCACGGGGACTGCTGAGTTAACGCCGTGTGCACTGGGTTGGGGACTCCCCCACACCCTGCTTCTAGTTCCGCTGTTGTCTGGGTGCCAGCCGAGGCCCCTGTCACCTCCACCCTCCCGCTCTGGTCCAGCTCCTCAGGCTGCCCACTGAGGGCCAGTTCATCTTCCAACTTCCTTTACTTCCATTTCCAGTTCTTCACATATTTCAATAAATTTATTTTGATGTTTATTTGAGAAACAGAAGCATAAACAAGGAAAATCAAAGTGAGATTGCTCAATAAACATCTTTATCACTTCATCTGGAAATAACTGGACACAGCACTTAGAGCCTGGTTCAAACAGCTGGAGGATTTTCTAGAATTTTGACTGGAATTCCCGTGCCATGTACCGCCAGGCCCAGGCTGCATAAAACCAGCAGTTTTTAGGAAATCCACTTTGCTCAAAGCCCCCAAATAGAGTCTGATATCCCTTCAACTTTGTTGTTCCCAGTCCAATGAGATACACAAAAAACCTCTGAGCTGTCTTCAGTTGTCAAGGTTGTCTTTTAAGTTAATTATTAAGACGCTTTGGTGTGAGAGCCCCAAGCTTTCTCCGCAGTTAAGGTGCATGTCTTGTGCGGGGAGGCTCAGGCTGGAGGTCCTGCTCACCGCTTTTCTCTGCATGACGTCCCGGCTCTGTCACACCCTGCACGACCTGGTTTGATCCCCGGGAGCCAGGCTGGCCCATGGCGTGGCCTTGTCCTCTCAATGGGGGCCCACCCAGGAGACTTCCCACCCGCAAGAGACACCCCCCATCTGGGAGAGAACCCACACCCCCATGAATGTCTCAGACACCCCTCCATGAGCCCACCGCCCTCCACAGGGTCATACAGGGTCAGGCAGGGGCAGTTGCTGAGCTCTCTAGACCCTGGGGAACTTCACCCCAGCCTAACCCCTGCCCCCCCCACAGCACTCCCCTCAGCCCCTGCTGAGGGACCCACCCCTTGGGCCCCTCCCAATGCCCCTCCATGCCCCAGTGAGCACCCACCTGAGGGAACCCAGGCGGCTGCCGTTCAACCTCAGCTGGCTCAGGTTGGGCAGATGCACCCCTGTGGGGCCATAGGAAGGAGGTTGGCCTGGCCCCTCGCCCCACCCACCTTTCTGCACCCACCCCAGGCAGCAGCGCCCCTCAGCCCCTGTGGCCAGCCTCTAGGCAGAAGCTGGTGCTTCAACGGCAGGAGGGACAGGGTTGCACAAGGAGCTTTCTCAGGGCCCTGGGCTCCTCTGGCTGCCAGTGGGTCCTATTCTGTGGGGCCTGCTAGCAGGGTTCGGCCCAGCTGCCCTGAGCCCTAGGCAACCTCACGGCCACATGCCCCACATTTGCAGCCTGGGCCGAATTAGGCAGGTGTAGCAGGTACACCCAAGCAGATGGGGTGGCACGGGCTGTCCCTGAGGTGGCACAGGCTGTCCCTGGGAGGGCCCAAGGCCATGAGACTCCAGGAGTTGGCCTGGAGAATGGGAGTCAGGCTGGCGTGGCTGGGACCAGTGCCCCCTGAGCCCCAAGCTGTACCCTGCCCCTGAACTACTGCTCCACAGCCCACCCACAGGCACCCCAGGCACTCCAGACCATGGTCTATGCAACAGCATGCAGCACCCGGTGCCAAATCATGGGCACTCCCCAGCCTGTGTCCCTGCACTGCCCAAAGCTCCAGAGAAAGGCTCTGAGTTCTCAGCCCTTCAAAGGATGGGGCACCGACTGTGAGGCAGAGTCCCTGACTCGTGGAAAGAAGGGGCGCAGGGCAGGCTGGTGGGGTACAACGGCCCGAAGACCACACCTGGCGGGAAGGGCCTGAGTGAGTGCACGTGGCCCCAGGACCTCACAGGTGCACAGAGTGGCCAAATTTTGCAATCAAGAACTTAGCAGGCCATTGCAAAACAGAAAACAAAATCATCCAGGACGGGCCTGTTTAATCTCACTCACAATAACCTGGACGGGAAGAGTCTTTCCTGCTCTAAGGAACGCTGCTGGGACAGCTGGGGAGATCTGAGTAACGTCTTTGGTGGAGGACAGTGGACGGCAGGCCGGTGCAGTTTCCTGACTCTGACCCTTGCACTGTGAGTACTTAAGAGAACGTCCTCTGGGCCGGCCCGTGGCTCACTCGGGAGAGTGTGGTGCTGATAACACTAAGGCCACGGGTTTGGATCCTATATAGGGATGGCCGGTTTGCTCACTGGGTGAGCGTGGTGCTGACAACACCAAGCCAAGGGTTGAGATCCCCTTACCGGTCATCTTTTAAGAAAAAAAAGAGAACGTCCTCCCTCTCAGGAGACGCATGTGGAAGCGTCAGCACAGACAGGGCGTGGTGCCACCAGTCACACACTGCCTGGGAAAAATAACAACTGCCCGATTGTGCGAGCGTGTGCGTGTGTGTGCAAGGGTGTGCTTCTGTGTGCACATGTGTGCGTGTGCTGTGTGTGTGCACGTGTGCGTGTGTGCACATGTGCGTGTGCTGTGTGTGCACGTGTGTGCGTGCTCTGTGTGTGTGCGTGTGCACATGTGCGTGAGCTGTGTGTGTGCACGTGTGCATGAGCTCTGTGTGTGTGCGTGTGCACATGTGCGTGAGCTGTGTGTGTGCCTGTGTAGGCACGTGTGTACATACACAAAGATAGAGAACAATGTAGCAAACGTGGCAGTTGTGAAGGACGCACGCGAGTCTGGCAGTCTCTGTGCTCCTCCTGCAATGTTTCTGTAAGTTCAAAATCATTTCAAAATAAGTTTTGGGAGCACCTAACACTAAGCGTCAGATTTCACTTGGCATCGTTTTAACCTTTGCTACTTTGCGGTGCTGGTGGGGGGCTGAAGGTGGGCGCTCCACCTGTGGGGGTACTGAGCGAGCTGTCCTGCTGGAGGGCTAGAACCTCTGCCTGTGCCTGACGCAGATCTTGGTTCTAGGGGTCGATCCTAAGGCAACAGACATACTGTCCATGATGTATGGGCAACGTTGTTTCATAACCAGAAAAACATGGGTGTTTCTTTGAGGCCTGGCTGTGACCGCAGCAAGGGGTGCGGGGGGCTCACCGAAGTTCCCCAGGCTGTTCTCATGGGTGTCGACGCACATCTCCAACACCCTCACCAATCGAAGGTCGTCCACCTGGGCCAGGGCCTGCTGCAGAAACAGCTGGGGAGTCAGCCCTGGGGGACTGGACGTGGTCCTGGTCACCATTCCCTCCAGCTACACCCATTCTTTTGTCCACGGAACTCTGCAGGGCCCCCACTGGGGCAGGAATATGTTCCTGCCTCAACCCTGTTGACCTTCGCCATGGACAGCTTGCCTGGTGGAATGTGACTGTGCTTGGCTGGTGGGGCCACTAACAGAGAAGGGCATGCCCTGGGGGTGCTGGTCTCCAAAAGAGACCTACGGAATAGACTGAGCACAGCCTGGAGCCCAGGGACCAGCCCCGCTGAGCAGCGCAGAGCCACAGCCGGCCTTAGCCCTGTGGCGACACATGTGCTCACACCAGGAGCCACTGTGTGGGGCCCTACTGTGCTTTTTGCTTTCCTGGGCTCCAGGACCAGTCCTTCCTAGGACGTGCGAAATACGAACATTTCCTCCCGGGATCCTGGCCCCCACCTGGTGTGGTATTAGTGGGAACTTCATGGAGAGTGTGAAGGTTTGAATGTGGCCGGTCACTCTGAGGAGGCCTAGGCAGTGTGTGTACCTGGCGGGGTCCGTTCCCCCAGGGTGGCCAATGGTGGGCAGGTGACCCCGCACTCAGGGAGGTGCAGGGATGTCCAGGGTGAGAACCTGCAGTCAAGAGGGCTCTGTAGAACCTTCTGGGACTCAGGTGGAGGTGGTGGGGTGACAGTGAGCTCCCACCCCAGGTCTGGGAGAAAGCCTTTGCCTTCTGCTCCAGATAGTCACTGCACACTGTGTGACCCCACCTCAGCCTAAGGGCCCGGAGGGTTTGGGAGGGGGTGCAGGAGCCCAGGGCAGGGTTAGCTCTGCCCTAAGGGGCAGTGTGGGGGCCCTTGAGCCCCCAACCAGTACCTGTCTCCTTCCCTCTACTCTAGGTTTCCTTTTTTCCCTGGAACTTTGCACTTCCGAGTGCCATGAGCTTTGATGGCTTGCCACCCTGTCTCCCCACCCGAATGCCAGCTGCTTGAGTGAGGAGGGGCCAGCCCTCTGGCTCAAGGACGGCAAAGTGCTCGGCAAACCCTTATGCAGTCCTGGCCTGACTCAGTGCTGTCACTGAGTACCTTGGGTTGCTGGTGCTTTGGGGCCTGGCAGGCTTGAGTGAGGAGGGGCCAGCCCTCTGGCTCAAGGACGGCAAAGTGCTCGGCAAACCCTTATATAGTCCTGGCCTGACTCAGTGCTGTCACTGAGTACCTTGGGTTGCTGGTGCTTTGGGCCCTGGCAGGGGCCCCAAGGGCAAAGTGGGCGGAGAGGACCCAGCTACAGAGGCTGGGCTGAGGGCAGCCATTAGCCAGGTAAGGCCAGGAGGGGTAGGGGCAGAGGGCAGGATGGACATCAGCAGAAAGGAGGCCCCGAGACGTCACCCCAGCCCTCAGCACTTACCAGTCGGGCAGGGGACATGTACTCCTCCACCAATTGCTCTCCACAGCTGCCCGCATGGCTGCCTAGACCCTTGCTCTGGGGGCAGGGGTTGTGCAGGCCCTGCCAGCTCAGCTCCCGTACCTGGATGCTGGCCGTGCGTGGCCGAGGACCATGGGATCCATCCGAGGCTGAGTCCATTCACACCTAACCTGCCAGGAGAGGCAGAGGGCAAAGCCTCTAAGCTTCTGCTCCTCCAGCCCTGGCACAACCCTCGACACGTTCTTGCATGCAGCAAGCCCCTGACACCCACCCCCTGAGCCCAGGGAAGGCTCTGGGCCTGGCCTGGCCTGATGGTGCCCCATTCATTTGGTCTCAGCCTGTGCAGAGGTACTCGCAGTCTCCTTCTACAACCTTGGTTCTAAACCCCTGCCCGCTGGAACACCCTCCGTGTTTCTGCCCATCCGTCAGGGTCCATGCAAGGAGTGCTGGCTCCAGGCCTTCCCATCTGAGGCCCCACAGAGCTGTGAGCTGGAGGGTCTGGGCTGGCCACCTGCAGTGACCCGCAGCAAACTGCTGCTGACAGGTTCCTTGGGCTGCCTTAGGCCCTGGCCTGTGGGCCCTTCTCCACCTGGTGGTCTCTGAGCCTGGGGCCTCGGACCAAGGTCTCAGGCATTCTCCCCACCTACCCCTGCACTGGCTAGGCCCTCTCACCTGCAGGCAGCTGCCTTCTCCTGCAGTGGGTTAAGCATCCGGGCAAGGAAGTTGCATGTGTCCCCAGGCAGCACCTGAAAGAAAGGGTCGGGTTGGCCTCGTGGTCAGGTGACAGCCCCCAGGGTGAGCAGGTGCAGAGGTGGGGGGGGGGGCTGTCAGCCCAGGGACTGGCTCTGATATTCCTGTGACCATCTTGACAAGGCACCCAGCCCAGCTGACAGAAGGAAGACAGAGCCAGTTGGGCGACCAACACTGGGTTCCCTCTGGGTCCCCCACAATGCAAGTGCCTGGTGCTCATCCAAATCCCACTTTCCTCCATCCATGGCTTGATCCTCTCCCTGAAAGGGGTCTCAGGTCTGCCACTCTGTGCCATCACAAGATCCTCCCCACCATGTCTGCAGAGTTGCCCCCAGGGACAGGGGAGTGGTCAGCTGGGCTTTGCCAGAGGCGGTGGGAGGGAGTGTTGGACCCCTGGACAAGCTGCCCAGGCTCCGTGTGCCTCAGTGGCCTAGTCTGGAAAGTGACCCATACACTGAGAATCAAAGGAAATTCAGGCCCAGGGGAACTTCCAGCCAGAATTTCCCCTGTTGCCTGCCTTTCCCCAGCAGGTGCAAGGTACCAAGCCTCGCAGGAGAACCCCACCACTGTGCCCCTGGGAGGACACTGCCACCTCCATCCCAGGCCTGCCAGCCGTAGGCCTTGGGGAGGGTATGAGCTGGCCAGCGTGATGGTTGTCCACGGATGGCATGGGCGCTATTGAGGGCTGAGCCCACCACCTTTGTCCCCTCTGTGCCTGAGAGCAGCTGTCTCAAGGTCCTGCCCCTGGCTGGGCCTTCAGTATCAGTCTGGTCTGAGCCCAAAGGCCTTGGGATGAAAGGCCAGGGGTTGGAGGCTGTGGACTCCAAACCCAATCCAGACACTGCCCCCTTGTACTCATGCACTGGCCTGGACCTGTCCCTGCTCTTCAGGGTCCTGCTCCCACCCTGCCCTGCTACTCTGCGAGCCCCCAAGTCCCCAAGTTGGAAACATGGGGGCCTCTCTGTCTCCACACCCCAGGCGATTGCCACCCCCTGGCAGCTTGGCTCATCAGCTCTCTGGGTCCCCTCTACCCCTCCATCCATTCACCATGGGGGCTCTGAGGGCAGAGACTGCTCTGCTCCTGTGTCCCCATCCGGGAACCCTCCAGAGCAGAGTCTCGGTCCCTGCTGCTGACTCTCCCCCCCAGGTGCAGGGCTTGGGGCCCCTCCTGACCCCATGACTGGGAGCCACAGCAGAGCGGGGCCAGGGGGTTTGGGGCAGGGTCTCCAGGGGACCAGACTTGACATCTGGGGCCAGCACTGGGTCCCCCACTGGCTTCGCTGCTTCACCCTCGCGCCCGGCCCTCGGCCCAGGCTCCTCCTGACACGGGGGAGATGGCGAGGCCTGAGACCCCGACCTGATGTGCGCTGGGCTCTCACCTGAGGGGTCGGCCCGGGTGGCCCGGGCCTGGGGGCTAGGCCCTGGGCGCTCTCCGCCGCCAGGCTGCTATTCCCGCCGCGGGGTTGTGGGGCGGGCGCCGTGGCAACGGGGGCGGGGGCTGACTCGGACACGCCCCTA